TCTGTTGTTAAATAGTGTCTCTCTAGGCAGGGAGGAACTTGTCCACATGTAGACTTCCTGGTCATACTGCTTTCTTGTGAATCATTAGCTGTCTCCTATGAGTTGGGTATATAATTTACTTCTTTTTTCTTCCATAAAAGACTGTGGAAGCAAATTCACAGCCAGCCACATTATCAGGCCTACTGAGTGTACAGCAGCTTGATGACCAGGAAGAATAGGGTGGGTGGATCATAACAATACTTAGCCCTTCTATAGCACATTACCTCGTCAGAGTGCTTTATAAACACTGTCTAATCAATAATGTTTTCCTCATCACTGGAGATTAATGAAGGGGCCATCTGATTCTGCTGCAGTTACGTACTCAATTGATAGTGAAGCACCCAAACATTTGCCCTTCCATTCTTTTGTACCTGTTCTTTCAGGGAATTTTTTGATGTTTCAGAGGGAATTTAGTTTTCATGAAAATGAAAGAAGGGCTAATGGCTTGTGCTTGAGCTGGAGATACGCAGGCAGGCATCGGACAGGACAGCACTGCATGGAGGGGCAACACACTACCAGGTCCTGACCTAGTTATTACAGCACTGAAAGTTTGTAGTGGGTTCCCCCTCTCCACCAGCTGGGTTGCAGGTGGGTGTTGTTTGAGACACTCTTGTACTGTGCCCTCACCTTTTTTTTATTCAGATACCCGGATGCTGTACGCTCCATGCCTTACTGACATGGATGAAGGAACGATTCCTTGCTATGAGGAATGTTGTCTGAAGAGGCAAAATTAGGACAAAGCTGAGGCTGCGGGAAGCAAAGTGACCAGGAGATTATCTTTGGCCTGTGGTGGCATCAGTTCCATGGGATTGGGGTTGTTGGAGGGCCGAGTAGGGCGTAAGGCTTTCATGGAAGAAGTGTGTTTTGAGGAGGGATGTGGTGGTCAGAAAGGGAGTTCAAGGTGTAGGGGGCTGCACAGGCAAAGGCATGGGAGGAGGAGGAGAAAGTGATGGTTAGGCATGAGGATCTGGTGGAGCAAACAATGGGTAAGGGGAGAGTCAGGAAGAGGCTGAGCTGAGCAGAGCTTGTCGGTGAGGACACACAGCTTGAAATTGAAGTAAAAGGCAGGAGTGATAAAGGGCCTTGACATGGGTGGACGTGGTCTGGGGATAACCTGTCCCTGCATGCCCCCCCACACTGAGGGTCCATAATTGTGAGGGAGCACAGCAGGGAACAACCAGTGCTGCAGAAAAGGAGCCAGAACAAAGCTACTACAGCTCCTCCAGCTTGTCACTGGGTGTGGGTGGGAGGAGGTGGGGCAGGAAAAGCTACCACAGCAGGCCCACCCATATTGCAGAGCTCAATCAGTTCAGCTCCATAGCTCCATCAGCCGCTGGCTCCTCCATAGCAATCCTCTGCTTCTAGTCTAGCCAGCTGCTTGCCCCATTAAGCGGAGAGGGAGCCAACCTGTACAGCACTGGCTGATCCCTGACTGGCCTCCCCTTCCCCAGGGAGTCACCGACAGAGCAGGTAAATATGGGGAGAGAATGAGCCCCAACTGAGCGGCGGGGGGAGTGAGTGAGCCTCCTTCAGGGGACTGCAGCAGGGTGGAGAGAGAGAATGCACATTATCAGGGGAAGGTTGGAGAGGTGAGGACAGACACCCCCACCCTCTTACACACACACACAGGAGATAGGGAGATTTGGGGAAAGTGAGAACAGGGGAGGGTTGTGGTGAGAAGGGACACTTACCCTCCCACACACACAAGGGTTTGGGAACTCGGTGGTGAGGAAGCGGGGGAGTGGGTTTGAGGATGCAGATGGTAGGCCTCTGGTAGGCAGTTGCCGGCTATATGAAATACCATGACGGGATTTATGAGTAACCAAGAAGGGCCTAGGGGGATTCCACCCTTCTCGTTTGTGATTTTGCACTTCCCGCCGGCTGTAAGTGGCCTTGAAAGATTCCTGATGCTTCCAGAATTGGGATATTTGACTCTGGGACATTGCATTTTTGGAAGCAATTCGATGAACAGATTTGATGCGGTGAGTAAATGCGTCACGTTGGCGTAGGTGCATTGCTAGTGGAACTCAAGCTAACACAATGTGATTTCCCCCTTCTTTCTTCTGTAGTAGCTAGGCCACATAGGAAGGTTTGAGTCTGCTACTGCTTTCATGCTGCTGACCTTGGCCCTTTAGCTCAGAAAGTCCAGGCTTTTTTAAACCCAGAAGTCCTGGGTTCAGTCCTGCCGATGACCTGACTATGGTCATCACTACCATAGCATATTTTGGAACTCTTACACCCCTTCTCTTTATGGAAGCAAATTCTTGTAGTAAGTCTGTAGGCAACTACAAATGTACCCTGTAGGCTTTAAGTTGCTTTTCTACAAAGTGTAAATGTGAAACATCGAAGCTACTGCAGTTGGGGGATTAAATTTAGTTCCAAAATATTTGACTTGACTCTGACATCGCAAACCACTTCTGAAACATTTATTCATGAGTTTGATTATAAAAAACCCATATGCCATTTACAGAAGAAATTACTTATGAAGGCATCAAATTTTATACTTAAAAATAAGCTTTGAAAACAAGACCACCAAATGACAAAACAGGCTATTTAGAGCCCAGATGGCGGCATAAAATAAATAGCCATTTCCTCAGTGGAAGCATAGGCAATTTGGCTGCATGAAGCTGCAATTCCAGCAGAGATCCTTGAAACAGATGTTGATATTGCGTGTGCATCAAAACTTTAGCAAAAAGCAAGATGTTCAGGTAGCAGGAATGTACAATAACTGACAACCTCAAATTCTTTTGTCCATGGGAGAGATCTATTTAAAACCCAAACATGACTTTTCTGGCGCATTGAACATAAGCACATGCTAGGATAAGGTTAATACAGGTGCCTAGTCTTGTCTGGGATACTAAAAAGCTTCAGTATTTTTTCTTTTTAAAAATATCCCACTGTTCTATCATTAGTGGTAGAAAAAGGTAAGGGGGGAGATCCAGGATGAAACTGGAAAAAAAAAAATCCTCATCTTTATCCATGCAAGAAAGAAACATGAAATGAACCAATTCCCTACCATTTGAAAAATACCTCCTATTGCTTCTTTTATGTCTAGTTAACTTAATGTCCCAATAGCCTTTAATAAGACTGTATTCAACAAAACCCTGTGGACAAGATTCTGATATTTTGTCCATATTAAGCAGTTTCTTACACCAGGTTTATTCCCATTGGTTTTAATGGAAGCAAGGTACTGCCCAGGATAAGAATGGGATTGCAGTCTGCTCCAAATTATGTTTTGGCTCAGGCTGTTCATGAGAAATTTTAATGCCAGAGGTAATTTTTTGGAGACATTGCTAAGCAACGACAAAAAATTGTGGTTTTGAGTGGAACAGATTTTCTCCAGGTGACGAGCAACAGCAGTGGCAGCTCTGAAAACCTTGAATTCTTCTCTGATGTAAAAACAAACATGCTCACAATTTACCGTGAATCAGTTCAGTGCCACTCCCAGTTGATTTCTTGAACAGCAATGAGGTATGCTGCTTATGGCTAGTGCTTCCCGCACATTTGGTCGGTTGTCCCGCTTCAATCCTATTGCAGTATATAGAGGTTAGATGGCCCCCACTGAAGCCAATGGGAGTTTTGTCATTGGCTCCAAAGCATGCCGGGTCCGGCTGTAAAGGTCAGGAATGACTGCCCCAGCATGGATGTGCTGGGGTGAAGATAGGAGCAGGTAGCCCTCGTTAAAGGTTCTGTATAGGAGACGGTTATAACATGGCTGCTTACACTCCCCTTGTCCATCAATCCATGCAAAGACTGCTATTGAATCCAGTGAGCTTTAGATGAGGCCCTCAGCGTCACCGGGCGTGGTGGCTCTCCTTGGCAGCAATGGAGGAGTGTCTTGGAGGGGTAGAGTGTGGGTATGGTCCTCTTTCTAGGCAAGCAACTGCAGGGCTGTGTGGAGAGGTAGCTGCTGCTGGTACGTCTGCTTTTTCTAGCACTGCTTGGAAGCTTCCTGCACGAAATGCCTCCAGACACTCCCTTGGGTATTGTGTATGCACGCTCTCTCGCTCACACTCTCTCTCTCTCCCCCCAACAGAGTGAGTCAAGCTCTTGGAATGGATGACCCAGTGGTTAGGACACTAGCCTAGGACTTGTACGACCTGCGTGCACTGCTCTGCTCCACCGCACGCTTCCTGTGTGGCCAACAATGGTGAGTCGCTTGGCTACTGTGGTGTTGGGGGAGCCATGTAAGTTCCTCCAATAGATAACTGAACCCCCAGGCCCAGACACGCTATTTTGGGTTGTCGGGGGTTTCTGTTTTCATGAGAACTTGCAGCCTATATCGTTAGATGGGAAAAGTGCCAGCCCAGTTGCAAACTGCCCCCTTCCCTTCTGTCCTTGTGGAAACCCCTCCATTGGCGCCTTGTGGGTAAGGAGGGAGATTAGGATGGGGCAAAAGGGTTTGACTACCCTTTGTAGCAGCACAACTCGCCCTCCGGCCTCATAAGGAACCCTTGGAGTACATGAGTGCTGACCCTGTCAGAATTAACATATTCCAGTTTCCCCACTACGATGTGATTTCTCCCCCCAACCCTGCCCTGTACCTCAGGGTGATATCTGGGGCTCAGCACTCAGGGAGCAGAGCTTCTGCAAGAGACACACAGGATTTGTGCTGATGGCCCTGACTTACTGCAGGCTTCCCAAGATCCATCACAGGGTCTCAAGAGATCCATGTATTTTGAGAGCCAAACCCAGGGGCAATTCTTAGCGGGGGCGACTGGCTCCCTTGAAAATGATCACCTTAAAACCTTCATGTCCAGATTTTCTCAGGTTATTCTCCCCTATATAGGAGTAATTTGAGTAAGGATGATTTGATCTGTAGTTACACAGTGGCTCTGTCACCTCTGTATACTTACTGACCTGTGGATGCCCAAGGAATTTTGTACACCAGATTAAGTGAAGTCATTTTATTTTAAAAAAAATTTGAATAAGAGTATACTCTCATTTAGTCTCATCTACCTCTCTGTAACAGTGCCTTTATAGCCTGTCCAGACCACGGCTGCGTTTGCCCAAAGAAGCCATAGCAATCTGGTAGATAAAAGTAGTATAAAGAATTGGAGGGTATATATGGCTATTACTGGGCTCTCCTGGATGGAGTCAGAACTCCTTAGCTGAGTCAGAAGCCTTATAATGGCTATGGAAGATTCTCCCTTTCAGTTAAGCAATAGAAGCATGGGGTTTTGGTGCAGGAGGATGTGGAATCTATCCCCAGCCTCACAATCACAGTCTGAGTGGTCATATTATCCAGCAGAGTGGCAACCGAGAAGCCCTAAATGGCCACAGGTTTGTTACAGTATTAAAATGGTTTTGTTTTGGGAGTCGAGGTGTGTAGTGGTCGGAACAGGGGGCATGGGAGTCAAGAATCCTCAGATGTGTTCCAAAATCAGCAACTTCACACAGTCTGATCTTGGTTAAGTCACCTGATCTTACTTTGTCGCATTCTTCCCCATCTGTAAAAATGGGAATAGTAACAGGTGCACCTTTGTAAAGGAAGTTGAGATCATCAGCTGAAAGGCAAGTGTAAAATATAGATACTTATATAAAAGCCTGCTACCTTACTGAATAAAGCCATCTTCTCTTCGATGGTAAATAATACTGGCCATACTGTCTTACTACACTGATCTTATAGTCAACCAGCTAAATACTATACCTGTTCGTATTAATTTCAATGATCTTGACACTTCTGTGTCACAGTGTTAGAGTTGCTACTCCCTTGTCAGCAGGTAGTAAATGGGAGGGTGTTGACAGCAGGTAAGGAGCCAATGCATTATATCCCAGCAGTGCGTTGCGTATTCTGACTTCTAAATGCTGAATGTTTATATGTGCCGTGTATATTAACAATTGACTGGGGTTATTATCACTGTTCTCAGTTAATCTATATTGCTAATGTTATTACAAACTAACTGGTCCTTGCTGTGGTGGTTTATCCCTCCAGAAAAACTCCCTTGTTTGATTTAGCACCAAGAAATCTAAGGGTGTATCTTTGGTTTTCATGAATATCTGAGACATACGTGTATAACAAGGACTCCTCCTATTGGGGCACCTGGAACTCCCTCCCTCTCAGAATGAGACAATAAAATCAAAGTAAAAAAATGTATTCAATAAAGGTAAGTGGATAACATCACAGAATATAAAGTCAGAGAAAAGTAAATTCTCTGCACCCATCACAGCTGTTAGTTGAATGGAATTGCCTTTCCTCATGGAAAGGACAGCTGCTCCAGCCCTTCAGTCTGTAGCGTGCACTTCCTCACAGTCCAGTAGGGGGCTCCAAAGCAGTGGCATAACTTCATTTAAAACCTGGCAGCCCTAGTAGAATACAGAGGGACACTTTCAAAAGTGTCCTGAATCAATTATGTACATATGGAGCTAAAGCAGCAACACACCCAACATTTTCACCTAGAGCTGCCCCTGGGCCAGATCCTCAGCTGGTGTCAATCAGCATAGCTCAGCTGAGGATATCGCCCAGGGTATGCACGTACACATATAAATGTCTCCTTCAGGCTGCCCTTGTGCACATTCAACTTGGCACACCCTGTTACGGTAGCAGCACCTGACTTACCTGCACAAGCCCTTTCCCAGCAGTAATAGGCATTAGTGCTGTAAAAGAATCTGTGCAATCTTGTGTACACTCAGGAGGTGGCTGGGGTCTAAACATCAGGCCTCCAGATTTGCCACAGAACTTTCCTTATAATTTTGTGTCTGCAAATAACTGTACCCATATCCTTGCACTTTCAGCTAATTGTGGGTACAAATGGAACACTTAGGCTATGTCTGCACTACGAAATTAGGTCGCATTTATAGAAGTTGGTTTTGTAGAAAGCGTTTTTATACAGTCGATTGTGTGTTTCCCCACACAAATGCTCTAAGTGCATTTAGTCGGCAGAGTGTGTCCACAGTACCGAGGCAACCATTGACTTCCAGAGCGTTGCACTGTGGGTAGCTATCCCGCAGTCTCTGCCGCCCATTTAAATTCTGGGTAGAAATCCCAGAATGCCTGATGGGGCAAAAACATTGTTGCGGGTGGTTCTGGGTGCATACTGTCAGGCACCACCTTCCCTCCCTCCTTCTGTGAAAGCAACGGCAGACAATCGTTTCGCGTCTTTTTTCCTGGGTTACCCGTGCAGACGCCATGCCATGGCAAGCATGGAGCCCACTCAGCTCACCGTCACTGTATGTCTCCTGGGTGCTGGCAGACGTGATACTGCATTGCTACACAGCAGCAGCTCATTGCCTTTTGGCAGCAGACAGTGCAGTATGATTAGTAGCCATTGTCGCCATACTCCAGGGTGCTCTGTTAGCCGACCTTGGTGAGGTCGCTCGGGGCACCTGGGCAAACATGGGAGTGACTCAGCCAGGTCATTTCCTTTTTAAGTTTCGCCTCATGGTGATTCAGTCCTGCCGCAGTCCTACTGCACCATCTATTAATGAGCAGCCAGGAGACGACGATGGCCAGCAGTCATACTGCGCCATCTTCTGCCAAGCACCCAGGAGATGACGATGGCCAGCAGTCGTACTGCACCATCTGCTGCCAGCAAGATGTATAAAGATAGATGAAGTGAAATCAATGGCCTGCTAAACCCAGGGTTTTGAGTTCTATCCTTGAGGGGGCCGTTCTGTTTCTCCTTGATGCAAAGCCACCCCCTTTGTTGATTTTAATTCCCTGTAAGCCATGTTTTCAGTCGCCCCTCCCTCCGTCAGAGCAAGGGCAGACAATCGTTTTGTGCCTTTTTTCAACACAGATGCCAGAGCACTGGGAGCATGGAGACCGCTCAGATCATCGCAGCACTTATGAGCACTATAAACACTGCACGTGTTATCCAGCAGGATATGCAGAACCATAACCTGCAAGAAAAGCAAAACCAGGCAAGGAGGAGGCAACTGCAGCGCGGTGATGAGGACCTGGACATAAACTTCTCACAAAGTACAGGCCCCTGCAATGTGCACATCACAGTGTGAGTTGGGCAGGTTCATGGCGTGGAACGCCGATTCTGGGCCTGGGAAACAAGCACAGAGTGGTGGGACCTCATAGTGTTGCAGGTCTGGGCCGATTCCCAGTGGCCGAGAAACTTTCGCATGCATAAGGGCACTTTCATGGAACTTCGTGACTTGCTTTCCCCTGCCCTGAAGCGCAAGAATACCAAGATGAGAGCAGCCCTCACAGTTGAGAAGTGAGTGGCGATAGCCCTGTGGAAGCTTGCAATGCCAGACAGCTATCGGTCAGTCGGGAATCAATTTGGAGTGGGCAAATCTACTCTGGGGGCTGCTGTGATGCAAGTAGCCAACGCAATCACTGAGCTGCTGCTATCAAGGGTATTGACTCTGGGAAATGTGTAGGTCATAGTGGATGGCTTTGCTGCAATGGGATTCCCTGTGGTGGGGCCATCTACGGAACCCATATCCCTATCTTGGCACTGGAGCACCAAGGCAGCGAGTACCTAAACCGAAAGGGGTACTTTTCAATAGTGCTGCAAGCACTGGTGGATCACAAGGGACGTTTCACCAACATCAACATGGGATGGCTGTGAAAGGTACATGACGCTCGCATCTTCAGGAACTCTGGTCTTTTTCAACAGTTGCAGCAAGGGACTTACTTTCCAGACCAGAAAATAACTGTTGGGGATGTTGAAATGCCTTCAGTTATCCTTGGGGACCCAGCCTACCCCTTAATGCCATGGCTCATGAAGCCATACACAGGCAGCCTGGACAGTAGTCAGGAGCTGTTCAACTACAGGCTGAGCAAGTGCAGAATGGTGGTAGAATGTGCATTTGGACGTTTAAAAGCGCGCTAGCGCAGTTTTCCTGACTCGGTTAGACCTCAGCGAAACCAATATTCCCATTGTTATTACTGCTTGCTGTGTGCTCCACAATATCTGTGAGAGTAAGGGGGAGACGTTTATGGCGGGGTGGGAGGTTGAGGCAAATCGCCTGGCTGCTAATTACGTGCAGCCAGACACCAGGGCGGTTAGAAGAGCACAGGAGGGCGTGGTGCGCATCAGAGAAGCTTTGAAAACCAGTTTAATGACTGGCCAGGCTATGGTGTGAAAGTTCTGTTTGTTTCTCCTTGATGGAAACCTTCCACCCCCCCCCTCCCCCAGTTTCACTCTACTTTCCTGCCCTCCTCCCTTCGATCGTCGCTTGCAGAGGCAATAAAGTCATTGTTGCTTCACATTCATTCATTCTTTATTTATTCATCACACAAATAGGGGGATAACTGCCAAGGTAGCCCGGGAGGGGTGGTTGAGGAGGGAAGCACGGGGTGGGGTGTTGGAGGGAAGGACGAGGCCACACAGCACTTTAAAACTTATTGAATGCCAGCCTTCTGTTGCTTGGCAATCCTCTGGGGTGGAGTGGCTGGGTGGCCGGAGGCCCCCCACACCGCATTCTTGGGTGTCTGGGTGAGAAGGCTATGGAATTTGGGGAGGAGGGCAGTTGGTTACTCAGGGGCTGTAGCGGCGGTCTGTTCTCCTGCTGTCTTTCCTGCAGCTCAACCATACGCTGGAGCATATGAGTTTGATCCTCCAGCAGCCTGAGCATTGAGTCCTGCCTTCTTTCAGCAAGCTGACGCCACCTACCATCTTCAGCCTGCCACCTCTGCTCGCAGTCATATTGTGTTTTCCTGCACTCTGAGATTGTCTGCCTCCACGTATTTTGCTGTGCTATGTCAGTGTGGGAGGACAGCATGAGGTCAGAGAACATTTCATCAGAAGTGCGTTTTTTTCGCCTTCTAATCTTCGCTAGCCTCTGGGAAGGAGAAACATATCCAGCTGGTGGAGGGGAAAAAATGGGAGAGTGGTAGTTAAAAAGACACATTTTATAGAACAGTGAGTACGCTCTTTCACAGTAAACCTTGCTGTTAACATTACATAGCACATGGGCTTTCATTACAAGGTTGCATTTTGCCTCTTATTGAGGGTCTGCCGGTTTGGTGTGAGAGATCACTCACGCAGGGCCGGGCAGCAGAATTCGGCTTACAGGCAGCCATGGTAAGCCACAGTCTTTTGGCTTCTTTAACCTTAATAACATGTGGGAATGGCTTCAAATAGCAGCGCCCTCATTTCTCATACAAAGTAGCTGTTGGGTTGGCCATTAAAAATGGGTTGGCAATTTAAAAGGAGGGTTTGCGGTTTCCGGTTTCACGTGCAGCAGAAACCCAACTAACTCTCCACTCCTCCCCACTCACACACACCCATTTCTCTGGGATGATGGCTTCACCCCTCCCACCACTACGTGGCTAACAGCGGGGAAGATTTCTGTTCAGCCACAGGCAAACCGTCCAGTCCACCTCTGAATGTCTGCTTACTAAAACCACCCTATTTCAACCAGGTGACCATGAACGATATCACTCTCCTGAGGGTAACGCAGAGACATAAAGAATGGATGTTGTTTGAATGCCAGCAAAAACCATAGGCTGCCATGCTTTGTTCTGCAATGATTCCCGACTACATGCTACTGGCCTGGCATGTTAAAGTGTCCTACCATGGAGGACGGAATAAGGCTGCCCGCCCCAGAAACCTTTTGCAAAGGCTTTGGGACTACATCCAGGAGAGCTTTATGGAGATGTCCCTGGAGGATTTCTGCTCCATCCCCAGACACATTAACAGACTTTTCCAGTAGCTGTACTGGCCGCGAATGCCAGGGCAAATTAATCATTAAACACGCTTGCTTTTAAACCATGTATAATATTTACAAAGGTACACTCACCAGAGGTCCCTTCTCCGCCTTCAGGGTTCCGGGAGCTGCCTTGAGTGGGTTCGGGGGGGGGAGGGGGGAGACTGGGTCCTGGGTCCAGGTCCAGGGATGGAATACTTTGCTAGACATGTACACAGTACACCTGTTTGCTGTCAGCAGAGTAATGGTGAGACTCAGGAATCCTTTGTATAAGGAATATTCAGGGAATTAAGCTGTAAAACTGTATGTAAACTCTACTGAGCATGTGCAAATTGTGATTATTTTTTTTAAAGGCTCATACCTTGGCCAAATTTGGGTGGATTTTCACAGGGTTGACAAAAGTTGCATCCCTGACACAAAGGCCACCCTGCTGCCAAATTTCAAGTTCCTGAATGGAGGTGCTAGAGCTTTTCAGGAAAAAAAATGGTCGTCAGAATTTTTTAATGTGAGCAAAATAATGTATTATAATGTATTAGCCCCTAGCCTTGTTCTTAGAAACTGCTGACCCCTTTCAGCTGAAATTTTCCAAAACAATTCAGCCTGAGGCAGACATCTAGCTTGGAAAATTTAACCCCAAACAGTTAGTTAGTATGGCAAAATTCTAAGCTACTGAAAACAGGGACTTATAATGGGGAAGTATCAAGCAACCTTAATAGAAGGTAGTGCTGCCAGCCCCATCTACCTAAAAAATATCATATTATTGTAGGGAAATTACAGTCCAAAGTAAGAGGCAAATATATGTACTCATCTATTACATTTTTATTAGAACTAATTAATGAGGCTGGCATGCTTCTGAAAATTTGATAATGTACTTTCTGATTAACAGGTGAAGGGTTCTGATGAATACCAAAGTTATAATTTATGAATTTCATACTTCTGGAGTGTATAAATCAGATCACTGCTGATATAAATGGGAAAGTCCCAAGTTATTGTTTCCATTGTACACAACATCATCATCCTTCGTTGTGGATTTACGTCGTCATTAGTCTGCTGTGATTTCCATATAAGGCTGCACGACCTTGACTTGAAATTGGAAACTATTCTGGATCTAACAGATCTAACTGTGGCAATTTATTACATTTTTGCTTCTAAATGGTGACTGTTAGACATTTTCTTTTCTGTGTGACATACAAAATAACTTCCTTCTAGTTTTGCTCACAATTTTATGCAAAATGACCTTTGCATTGGTGGCATGGTGCTATGATTTCAAAACAGTGCTCTTGCTGACAGACAGTTTTTGCTGTGTATATTTTTATTTATTTTATTTGTATTTTTACCCCATGTAGCTCATCTGGGAACAAGGACATACTGTGACAGATTCTCTTTCATACCAGGGTCTGTAATTAATCTCCTCCTACTACTTAATATCAGTTAATATTGTATCAAAATAGTGTCTGGCTAGCCAAAGCTGCATTCACAGAAATAACATGGAGTTGTTATAAATAAGTGGGTGTATATTTGCTCCTTTTGGATACACTTATATTTTTGATTCTTTTGTAGTTCATATTAAAGGATGGTATTCTCTCCAGTCTGCTGTAAGGCTTTCCACATCCCTAAACATCCAATGAGTCCTATATTATGGCCAAAATCCTTTCCCAGTCCTCACCCCAAGAAACTCATCTGGATGTTAAGGAACTCTGCAGTGGTCTTCGCTTCCTTGGCTGCAGAATGCCATTGAAGTGATCCCACAGCAGCTATTCCCACCAACTGGTCCTTCTACATCATTCTTTCCCTTTGTTGGGAGAAGGATGGAATGACCTGTCTAGTCACCAAACTCCTGTCCTCTATTGGTCAGCTCCTAAATCTCCCATGCATGCTGGCATACAAAGATTACCTGGGCAAGATTTCCTGCAAAACAAGGTGTATTCCTGCGGTGAGCTCAAGGAATGCTGCCTCCTGTCAGCCCAGTGGGACCATATATGTCCTGTGTGGACAGTCTTGTATGGATCCTCTGCAGTGGGATGCGTTAAACCCCAAAACAGCATGACACACCACGAAGAGCACAGTGGTTCACTCCATATAAACAGCCCCTATTTGGCTTTCTTCTACAGCAGGCTCCAGCTGTGCTGTGAAGTTGCAGTTGCAGGCTTTCCCCTCTCACTTACCTGCATTGCATAGCTGGGAAGACAGTTGCCAAAGGAAAGGAAGAGTTGATTCTAGAAAGGCAGAGAAAGGCCCAGAGCATCTTGTTGACTAAGTAGAACAGATGGAAAGCATATAGCTATGCCCTCCTCAGCAGGTTAGAGTCTGGCTGCTTGGGTAGGAGAGTTAATGTGGATATGTGAGAGAGAGAGAGAGAGAGAGTCTTTGCTCAAAACTGTTTACAGGATTATTCGTTTTACTGATAAATCAATAAAATCAAAACATTTTTCCTTTTCTGTATGAACAATTCCCTACAGACCCTCTAATTGCAGCTTGTAGCTGTGCGGTCCGATCTGCAAGACCCTGCTTGGGATTTCACTTCTGCTCCCCTTGACGTTGTTACATCTCCCAGTTTTGCTCGGAGGAAGTCTCTCTCTTGTGAGAAAATAAATTAGCAATTTCTAAAGGATGACCATAGAGAACCCATCAAAGCAGCATTGCTGCTCACACAGTTCTGGACTCTGACAAGCCCTATAAACACTCTGTGTCACATCCTCCTGGGGTTTTGCATTTATTTTTTCATACATTATACACCAACATGGGTAGAAAAATATGAAAAAGGAGAGACGGAGCAGAGATTAGGGGGCTGAAAACATTTTCGCAGCAGTATCTTGTCAGCTTTCCAGCACTCTGACTTATTGAGATCCAAACACGCACAGCTGGTGCATATTTTAATGCCAAATGACTGGCATGGCTGAAATTGGAATTCACAGTCTCTCAATATGCCATACTAGTACATTTAGTCAGCACATTGCTTTATGTAACACTTCTAAAGTTACGTTAGATTTCAATGAGGGCATTTTTATGGAGGCACTGTGAACTTGCATGGAAGAGAGAGGGCAACTGAGTTTGCCAAGTGGCTGTATGTCTGATAAAATTAGAAGTAAAACAACATGAAAAACCCTGCTAATTTACTTCCCTAAAATTGTCAATTAAAGAAGTGCCAAGTAGCCTGGCAGGAATTCCAGGTTCTCCAAGCACAGGGTAGCCGTGCCAAGGCAAGAGCAGAAGAAAGGGAAGGAAATATTTGTTGACTCTATCCAATAATTGGTCACATAATAATTGGGCAGTACATTCCCCCAACCTGAATTGTTTTCCTGGTGGTAGGAACAATGCCTGTTTTTTAATGTGTTTTAAATTTCCCAGACCATGTATCACGTTCCAGGTACTGGTAGCACCATGGGTTGTTGTGTGGCTGATGTTTAGTTACACATTGTCAGATTTTCTGAATGGCATTTAAACAGCTCCTTGCAAAATAATACATTGCCTGAGACATTTAAACAGCTATACTGTTTTCAAAATTAATATCCAGTGCTTCCTCGAGGAAGAAGGGTTTGGAAACGGGAATGCCTTAACCGTGTG